AGGGTTAGGTTTAGGGTTAGGTTTCGGGGGGTTAGGGTTAGGTTTAGGGGTTAATTTTAACTTTAGCGCTCACAACGTGCTTTTTTTGTCGCGCTGTGATGTCAGGTACGCGGTTTCATCGAGCGCGCTTTAGTCGACCGCGGTTTTGTGGTGGAACCGAAAGGATAAGCCAGTGACATCACTGCTGCGATGCCTGGTTAGCTCTTTTCGTGTCTCTATTAACCAAAGTGGGCATATCTATCTATCTATTTGCGATTACTCACTTTTGAACTGCTAGGTCAGCAGTAGCCGGAATGAAGGATAGGAGCTCACCTCATCATGTAGCAGCTCTCGGGTCTCGAACAAGGATTTTCTGATTGTCAACCCAGTGTCCTAACAACATATGCTACTGTGCTCCTTACATGTGAATACCTTCCACTTCACTGCAGTATTTCTGCACGGAAGCTTCCAGGATAAGCATCTAAGGTAGATTAGGATGGTGTGTTGTATGCAGGTAGTCCTTACTTAGCAACTGCTTCGGACAGTGACTGTTCGCAGTTACAACAATGATGAAACACTATCTTTCTGACCAATGCCTGTATTTATGACCTTCACAGCATCTGTTTCATGCATTCACAAGTACAGTCATAATACATTGTCCTGTGCGGGGGTCCTTGGTGCCACCTCTGAGCTTGGTGGCTTTCTTGCAGATGTTGCATGGCCCAAACTAGGCAATATCATCAGCACTAGCCTGATGATGTTACCTAGACTGGGTCTGCAAGAAAACTACCAAGCTCAGAGAGCACCAAGAACTCCTCATTTCGACCCCGGGCTACAAAATATTCTCTTTTATCAGTACATTGTCCTGTGTGAAATCATGACGGTCGTGGTAATATCATTTTTCTCTTAGCGACTACTTGCAGACCCAATTGTGCTCACTTATACTATGGCCATTATAGATAATAGCTATCTGTACTAGATACAGCCATACACAGTATTTGCCTATAGATACAGTATTTCCATAACCATGTTTCTAAAATGTTAGTGGAGGAGAACAGTGCTGAAGCATGAAAACTATGCATAACTGAATGGAATATAGCATATAATGACAGGTTAATGCTGCAAAACATATACTTACAAGGATATCTGCCATCTGCAGCCCACGTAGAAATAAAACAACTGTTATTACAATCAAAGCATTGCCTCTGTTTCTCTTATCGTTTTAGGAAGAAAATGCCACTTTCGGTATATTCATTTAACACATTCAGCTGTTCTAATCCACATGATAGTAGCAGATATGCCCTGACCCCATTTTCAGCATCTTCAAGAAACCGAAGTGTTATCTCACTTTCATCAGCCTCCTCTACCCAAGGTCACCATTGGAAACCGATAAAGGATTTCTTGCTTAGACTTAAGATTTAGCTTCAGCAACAACTACTTATCCTTATTTATCCTTCTTTTCAGCTTTGTCATCCATCCTTTATGAAGTATGGCCATCAGTTGCTTTGCTGAGTGGGAGAACTTGGTACGGCCAACTCTTTGCAGCCAACGCGCAGTGGGACAATTCACCATGGCCAACTCACTGCGAGACAAGTTGCTCGAGGACAATTCAATGATTCAATTTAAGTATTTAAAATAATTTTTAAAATAATTTTAATTTTTGTCATTTACTTTTTTATTTTGTCCCTCCTTTGGCGTCCTTTAATGATTCCACTCCACCATTTTTTTTTTATATTACTGTAACTCTTGTCCTGCAATGAGTTGTCCCATGACAAATTTGGCATGGTGAGTTGGCCATGATGAATTGGCCATGGTGAATTGGCCACGGTGAGTTGGCCACGGTGAGTTGGCCGTGGTGACTTGGTCATGATGAATTGGCCACGATGAATTGGCCACGGTGAATTGGCCATGATGAATTGGTCATGGTGAATAGGCCGTGTTGAGTTGGCCGTGTTGAGTTGGCCGTGTTGAGTTGGCCATAGTGAGTTGGCAGTGGTGAGTTGGCCATGGTGAGTTGGCCATGGTGAGTTGGCCGTGGTGAGTTGGCCGTGGTGAGTTGGCCGTGGTGAGTTGGCCGTGATGAATTGGCCGTGATGAATTGGCCGTGGTGAGTTGGCCGTGGTGAGTTTGCCAATGTGAGCTGGCCATGATGAATTGGCCATGATGAATTCGCTGTGGTGAGTTGGCCATGATGAATTGGCCGTGATGAATTGGCCGTGGTGAGTTGGCCGTGGTGAGTTTGCCAATGTGAGCTGGCCATGATGAATTGGCCGTGGTGAGTTG